GTTTTATCCGTGAAAATCGGCTTTTCCCATAAGAGTACGTGTAAAATCAGTGTAAATTAAAATAGTTATATCTCAACAACCGTTTAGTAGATGCATTTTGACTTTTCTGCAATAAATTAGGAAGACTAAAAGAACAATTTCACAAATTTTTAGCGACTTTGTACTATTTTGAAGATAGGTCCGATACATCCTTAAACGAGTGAAATGCGTAGGAATCACACCCATACGCACACACACACACACACACATGGGGTGGGTGTGGGAAGGGGGGTCAAAGGCCCCCTGCACCACTCCGCGCGCGCGTGCTTTTAGCAAGATCCTGTATATACAGTGCGTGCCTGTGCATACATGTTCTTTTTGGGATTTTCAATGTTTCTTGTCCCGAGCGAAATTTTTAAGTTTCATATTCATGTTCAGAGGACAAAAACGCACAGAAATTGGGTATTCTTACGCATTATTTCATATAGGTAGGTTTTCCGAAGGTTTACCGTAATTATACTTACGGTATAAATTTTATTAGTTTATTACACGATTTTCAGGGTAAATTTTAAGAGAAAATACTTTCCGTGTAAACTTAATTAAATTAATAATCAATTTAATAGTACTTTTAATTAAGTATCCTGTAGAAGCAAACTGTAAAGAATTTATCGCGAAAAATATTACTTCAACCAGGATCGATTAATAATCCGTAACAAATTACAAATCGTACGTGTCGGGTCCGAGCTACAGCGGTACGGTAATAAACAAATTAAATAAATTTTTAAAGAACTCATCACAGGCTGAAAAAGTCTAAGCTCCTGCCTGAGGAACGCTCCGCGTGCGAGCGACTTTGCGCAATCCCTTGGACAGGGTTGTGACATGCCGTGAATCGCGACGGCGCCGTAGATCGAAACGCGCCCGTTCCATTTCTAATTGACGTCGCATATCAGTTCGCACTCCAGTCACGCTCGTGATGCATTCATTCGTTTGTAAATGAATCACACTGGCGATATTATATTTCCTGGTGTGTGCATTGTTATTGGATAACGCGAGACGCAATAGCTCGACTACGTGCCGCTTCTGGAAACGCGGCAAATATGCAACGACGTCTAAGGGAATGATCGATCCCCGTATTTCCCATAACAATGTTTACCGCGTATTATGTTCTGGAAATTACGTTATCCATCTTTCATATTTTATCAGCGGCATCGAATCGAGTCTTCCTCCTAATTCTTTCGAAGCGACGCGATCGTACACGGAGAATTTTCTCTTCAAATTTATTCTGAAAATCATACGATCTTGGGATAATATGACATTTCGAGGATTCTCTTCAAGAGAGTTTTTGAAATTTCACCATACGTTTTACTAGTAAAGCCAACGGCATACAATACCATTTTTTTCTTACTGGATTGCTTACCAAGAGAGCCAATCAGGACACAGAGTTTTAGATCAGGTGACTTGAGGCTAAATCCTGATTGGCTCTCGTAAGCTGTCTAGTAGAAAAAAATAATATCGTGTGCCGTTGGCTTTAAGTCATCTGAGCTCAAACTTTTCATCCTCGAAGGTCCGAACACACGAAAAAACTTAAGCAGTAAGACTTAAGGGAAATGACCAATGACTGTCGAGAACGTAAGCAGCTATTTTGTAACTTAAGCAATGCTGAAAAATTCGATTGGTTGAAATTCTTAAGTTTTACTGCTGAAGGTTTTTCGTGTGTTCGGGCCTTGATTCTGTGCAGTTGGCGTTAGATTAGATGACTCAAGGCTAAGTCCCAGTCTACAATAGATGATTTAAGTCCTAAACCTTAAGAAATTGACCAATCACGGTCAGGTATGAGTAGAATACCTGACTGCGATTAGTCAATTTCTTAAGACTTGGAGTTTAAATCTTTATTGTAGATAGGCACGAAAACCAACGGTATACAAGGTATACTATATGTTCTCGTAAGCAATACAAAAAAAAACTTTCATAGAATTCTTCCGTGCCGTCTTGTCTCACGGTTTCAGGGCAAATTTTAAGAGAAAATACTTTCCATGTAGATTAGAAAAAGAGAGAGAGAGAGAGAGTATCTCTTTCGCTCGTGTATTGTATTAACAATTCATAATTACTGAAAGGCCAAATTAACGAGCATTAACAGATGTTCTTTTTTAAACAAAACCGATTGATAAAATTACTTTATTTTTCAGGTTCAAATAGACGTTTCGGCTGTACTGAGCCTACTTTCCATGTACTCCTCGAGGAAAGAGATAAATTTTATATAATCATATCCTGACGAGCAATATAGTTGATGTATTTGTATGTACGAAGTTGATTAGCATTTTGAGAAGTCTCGAGGTATTAACTAACAGACAGTGCTTGACGTCGCAACAAGCGTGAACAATAAATAGGTGTGGCGCATTAAATACAATTTCATGGACGTTAACTAGGAAAACAAGTTCCTCATTAGCAATCTCATTTCAAATGAGATCAATCGCTCGGCTGCCGTAGCGACTTCTTTATCCCGTATGCAAAGCGGCGCTTTTAAAAAAAATCTCTTTTTCACACCACTATTAAGGTCTGCGCGTGCGGCAACCTTAGAACTCCCACGAGCGTTTCACAATGCTCCGTTTTTTTTTCTGGAAAAGCCCTCTTTCCTGGGGACGCGGCTGTCTGAAGGTCCGCAACGTTGTAATTGGACAATTTTCGCGCTCTCTACGACAGCCGTGACCTATTTTATGAAACTTTGATCAGTTGCTATTGGACGTTATCTCCGTTTAAATACAGGGGGCAGAAGGTTAGATAAGACCACTTCTGTATTCGGATGACGTTGAAATGCTAGAAGTGCACAAAGAACTTGCAGGAAAACAGAGATACGCGGGTGCCGTTAAAATAGCGTCGAATTAAAAAACGCTGCTGTAACATACACGCGCGCGCGTGACGGCGTTTCGAGATATACATTATTTCAATTGCCACTTGTGCATATCCTTATAAAAGTTCTTGTACACACATTGAATTCATTATCGTAATTTTTATGTCTCTTGTACACACATTGAATTCGTTATCGTGATTATTATGTCTATTAAGAAAATGGATTAATATCAAGTGCGATATCCTGGAGGCGCGACTAATCGGTTTTTTTTTCACACGGTATATCTACTTCATAATCTTTGATACACTTTTAGAAAAATGTCTCGTAACAAACGGGTTAATTGACTTGATAATCGTTTGCATTAAGAATGCAAACGATGAATGAGAATGAAAGACGGGGTCGTAAGTTTCTAAGCGATATTTAGAGCGTGCTCGTACGCCCAAACATATTGCGGAGAAGACCCTCCATATTCGTGCGTGTCTGCTGTTTACATTATTGAGCGTACGATTTCGCGCATTATCTTTTATTTTCACTGTAAACTGTTGGGCTGCGAGTCCGCACTTTCGTCCGTTGTCGAGCGTGAACAAGTGCGCGAGATACGTTTCGGTGACGAACAGCATCGGGACGTCGCGTAGATCTAAAATGAACTCGTTTCTCACTAGTGGGCTCTTTAATCTTGTGACGTCAAGCTCTTAACAATCGATTTATTCAGATGCATTCATTCACCCACGATCTGGCGTTTAGTTCCCATTGCGTTTTATTTTAATTCTGACGTTTCTTTAATTTTGTATCCAACACGTACAATCGGCGAGAAAAAAAATTTAAAGCTACTCAAGCGTTTTAAAGAATTTCACCTTCAATACGGACTTCTTTTTTCTGATTGGATATAAGAGGAGTAGATTTGGAATACATTTCGAACGTGAACGCGAAAAAAATCGACCTTAGAAAGAAAATGAAAGCGAGGTCCTTCAAGGAACAGCGTTCAACAAATTCCCTAGTTTTTCCTTGATTTTTCTCAACAGACGTCTCCAGCATAAAATTTGTCTTGCGCGAGGAGGATCAGATATTCCATCTATATGCAAATGAATTTTAATTACTCGCTAAAAGCGCACAGCTCCACAGGTCGACCCAGACGAATAAAAGTATAATGTACCTGTCCCTCTCTAAGGCTGTCTCTTGACCGTTAAAAGACGACCCTACATTAGCGAGCGAGCGAGCGAGAGAAAGAGATGTCCTATTGTAAAAATTTTTTATCTCTCGGCCAATGTATTATACGAGCAAGAATAAGATGTAAAACTGTTACAGGAATAACAACATATCGATATTGCCGAATAAACTAGCTGTTATTCTTGTAACATTTCTACATCTTATTCTTACTCGTATAATGCATTGGCCGTGAATTAGAAAATTTTTCTTATTATTAAGAAAACGAGCGTGACCATTTCTTTTAACCGTTTGAAGCATACATTTTGCTATTGAACCATTTTTTTTGGTAAAACTTTGTATACAAGGGTTTTTGGGGTCGCTGATTACAAATTCGTTATCAAATTTTCACGATTCGAAACGGCGGATTCAAGATGGCGGAATTCAAAATTTAAAAGAATAACATCACTCAACCGTAATTCAACAATGCTAAGGAACATTATTTATTGTTAGATATTATTAGGACATGGAATGAAAATTCTAGTTAAAGATTCTTATAGAATATAAAAATTAGCGCGCGCGAAATGGCGGATGCAAAATTGAAATTTGATCACTTCTTAGAATTTACTCATTCTTGGCACTACCCAGAGCTAACGACGCGACAAGTCCCCAAATATCGCAATCAAACGAAAATGTCGAAAAACTTGAAAACTTCAACAATTCACGTACTTTGCATCCGCCATTTTGAATTATGAAAATCTCGTAATGAGCGACCCTGAAAACTCCTTTGTACAAAGTTTTCAAGAAATAATCTTCAAAAACTTGGTCAATAATGAATTTTTCCGAAAAAAAAGTATTTTCATATTTATTTATTTATAAAACTTTTACAAATACTAAAGATTACTCAACTCTGTTTTATATTCTTTTATTGCTGAGATATTAAAGATGCAAAAAAACCCGAGCTAAATGCGTCAACTAGAAATTAAATGGCCAAAATGTAAAGAAGTTGAGGTGGTAACGTGAGTTACCACTATGCTTCAAAGGGTTAATATCCTATTGTGTTTCTCTGTCGTCGCTTCAGAGCGTGTACTAGCGCGTTGCGCGTAATGCTCAGTCCATTCTATACGTCGATGAAGAAAACCCATTCAAAGGCAGCAAATTAATAAGACGAGACATTGCAAACGCTGTTCCAATCGACCGAGTTGCAGAGCGAAATCTGACGCGAGTAAAGTAACAGGCCCCTGCAATTGCACCTTTTAATTGCCGAGCTCAATATTATTCTGTGCGTTAAAAGGCGCAACATACGCCACGCGCGGCAGCTGCAATAGCAACCACAAAACCAACACAGAACCGAGGGATCGTTGTGTCTACATTTGCAATGTGACTAGATAACATTTGCGTCCCCTCCGCCGTTCAGATAATAAATTCCGATTATACTTCGACTTGGAGTAACCCGTCCGGACAGAACGGCGGGGGAAGGTGGGACGAGAACGAAAGGGGGGGGGGGGGAAGGAAACCTACCGCTGTAACATAAGGCAGCCATGGTAATTGCGCGTGGTTCGGTGTTTTCCTCGTTAAAGGGACGGGAGGAGAGAGGGAGAGATCAGGTGGGAGTCTGGTGGTCTCGGGACGGTCCCAACGCGGTCGTCGTTCCTTCGGCGGCGCCGACGTAGCGTGCCCGCGGCTCGTACAAAGGCGCGGAAGAACGTTGCGATCCTCCCACGTGCGATCGCGCGACGGCTCCGGTAGGTGATTCAACGTCTTTTCACGAGCTTCTGGGAGTTGACGATGATCTCTCGGTTCCACGTGTACCGATACGCGAACTGCATGCTATTATATAACATTAGCACACTCCACCATCGAGACGACCGGTCGTTTCCGCGGATCAACTTTAACGATGCCAGTCTCGTCGGGTTCCACCGCCGGTGCGCTGCGCCACCGTTTATCTTCTCAGGACACCGGTCGCGTCCATGCGCGGAAGAGAGCGGACGACCGTCGCACGGATCTCGAACGAGTCCTCCGCGCAGATGGTTCGCGATTGCTAGTCCCGCGCCTCCTACGGACGACGACGCTCGACGAGGTTCGTCAACTCGCGTCGTACCCTGTCGTCACGGACGCTCGACGACGACGACGACGCGCGAGGATCCTGAGGGGGTCCCGAGCTACCGAGCGACGAGCAGGTGGTCGTTGACGGGCGCGCGCGCGCGCGGCCACGTGTTCTCGCTGGCGAGCGTCCAATATCACATCCGGTGCGATTTTATGGGTAGCAAGCAATGCGCCCCGCTCAGTCAGGTCGCTTCTCTCGTCGCCCTCTTCGGCGTTTACCCGTGGCGATGCCGCGCGATGATACTGCGGGTTCCTCTTCCCGCTCTCTCCGCGGGAGACGCGCGGAATTTTCCAGCGGATAAGACCAGGGAAGGTTCCCGAAGGGGGGAAAAAGGGGGGTGTTTCCGCGAGACCAAAATTGGCGGAGGCGTCGGAGAGACGCCCGTGTAACACCACGACGGAGAAGACACTGATAACGCGGCGAGATGCTCCGCCGAGAGCCTCGTAGACGGCGGGTAATTAAATACTGATGCAGCGCGACGGCTCGGCGAATGGCGATCGCGCAAATTGGACTTCGGTGGCCTGTATACTGCCGAGAAACCACTCCCTCTTATCTTTGGACTTTCCCCCCCGGTCGTCTCCACTCCCTCTCAATCGCGCCGTTGACACCGCCGTCGCCCCCTTCCCTCCGGTCCACTAACAAGCCGAAGCCATTTGCGCAGAGGTTAACCAGTTTGTCCCACTCTCTTTTACAGAAAAAAAGGAGAGAAGCGCGCTGGAGCGACGAAGAACGAGCGAGGAGAGAGAGAGACACGTGTGCCAAGAGCGGTGGGTGCGAGCGAGAGAACGAGAGAGAGAGAGAGAGAGAATGAAAGCGATAGGGGGATACGAAATCGCACGAAAATACCAGTTTTCACATTTTTTTCTGCGCAGTATAGAAAAATGCGTAAAGTAGGCGATTCTTAAGTCAATGCGCATTCACGCACGTTTCGTGTCCTTTAACCGCGGTGTCCGCCACTCGATTGTATCTATGCATGCGGATATCGCGAGATGTATCGCTCCGGAGCGTAAAACTAAGTCTCTCCCGTCTCGTTTCTCTCTCGGAGCATTGAAAACCCCGCCGAGGTTCCCCGTCAAGTTTCTTTTTCACGGCATTGTTTAATACGTTAACGCGACGGCTGCGATTTCTCACCGTCCAGATGCGATAATGTATGAAAATTTTTTGCGCTATGTAATTACATAAACGCAAAGGCCTCCAAACGCAACCTCTTTTTGCTGCGAGCAAGCAACGCGCCACACTTTATATTGAAGCTTATGTATACGGAGAGGATTTTCTCTTAAAATTTACCCTGAAGAACTTCATGAATTTTATTACTAGTAAACCCATCCCGTACAGCACAAAACTTGCAGTTGCATTGCAATAACATTGCTACAATATTGCAACATTGCTTTAATGTAGCTGCAATGTAACTGCAAGGTTTGTGCTGTATGGGATACAGCACAGATGGTTGCAGTTACATTGCAGAAACGTTGCAATCTTGCCGAGACATTGTAGGGATATAAAATTGCAAACTTTCGATAGCAATATTGCAGCAATGTTTCAAAAATAATAAAAATACTATGTTTTCTATTTAAAAAATTTTTCTAATTACGAGAATTTTATAATGTTATTTTCGTTGATGCCAATAATGCGCGAATTATTAAGTGCTTGATCAGTGCGGTGTTGCTCGCAATCTCCATCTATTGCGAAGCGACATAATCTCCTTAGGTTGCTTCGCAATAGCTTGCTGTGTATTGAAAAAGGCCCGGATGCATATGTAATTAGTAAATTCTCTGCTTATGTACAACGACAACAAATTATTCCAAAAATATTGCGCTGCAACATTGCTATAATGTTGCACTGCAATCTCTCTGAGGGCGGACATTTCAACGTTTGCGGCAATCCTCCAGAAACGTTGCAGCAATATTGCAATGTAACATGTCTGCAATCTTTCTGCAATCTTTCTGTGCTGTGTGGGAAATGTCTATAGTAAAATTTTTACTAGTAAAATGTATACCAAGTATAATTACTAGTGCATGGTAAAATTTCAAAAAACTCCTATAAAGTTCTTCAAAATGCTACGTTGTCCCATGATTACATCATTTTCAGGATAAATGTTAATCGAAAATTCTTTCCGTGTACGCTTTAATATAAACTAGCAAAGTGCATCATAAAGTTCTTCGAAATCCGCGTTGTCCTATGACTACATGATTTTCAGAATAAATTTTAAAAGAAAATTCTTTCCGGATAGAATATACACAATCTCGGAACGTAGCTATAAAACTAATTAATAGCGATTAAATTGTACATACAAATTATTTCTCTTAACGTTTAAATTGTTAAACGCTACGAACATCGCAAACGTTTCTGAACAATTGCTGTATTTTCGACAACTTATTTCTCTGCGATTAATTTCGGTGAGCCGATTGACATTCGTCAGTAGGCTACTTGTCCCGACACAATAAATAACCGTATCGGTGTCTGTACGTGATAGCAGGAGCAAAAAAGAAAAAAAAAATTTGCCACGAATATAAGTCTGGCTTGTTAATACCTAAGGATATTAAGCAACATGTTTCAACGGAATCTTCCAGAGACCTGGATGGGGAACATCTTTGACATACTGAGTATCGTGTTCTCGATATGTTAATTTTCATAACGAACTCTCTCTCCTTCTCTAATCGGAGATTGAATTCTGAGCAAGTTTTGTAACAGTAAAAATCCCATGTAATTGCGGAACCGTTTAACGTTGGAAATTAAAATTGCCACAAAAATACCGCTGTCTGAAATAGCATTTTCCTCAATCGAGAAAAATAAACTTTAAATTCATTAAGGCATTCATCAAAATTTAATTTATCGTAGTATGTGACATTCAGTAGAAATACTCGAGTTATATCAGTGAATTTTTGAATTGTATCATATATCAATCTTATTTATAAAATCATGCCAAGCAAGAATCAGATTGATCCAAGATTATAGAAGTTATATTTTTAAACGAGTAATGGATTTTTGTATTTTGTTAGCTCCTATGATGACATACAAGTTTGTTACATAAGAAAAGTCAATATTTCTAATTTAATTTTCTACTTATCTTCATATGTACAATTATTGCCTCTGCTTTATACTTTTGACTTTTTTCCGGTTCTCAGATAAGAGTTTCTTAGATAAGGAGAAACAGCTATTCATACAAAATGTTTAACACTGTGTTCTTGCATGTTAAATTCCGGAATAGCAAAACATTACGCCCGTGTTATACTTTTGAAGATATTGAAATTTGTAAGATCTCTCAAATTTTTTGTTTAACAAACGATACAATGTCACAGTACGTCATCACCAATTTCTGTTGCGGATTTAACACCGCGATATTATCACTGATACATGCGAATTCCGTCAAATAAACGGTATCTCTAAGCTTATACTTGGCGTGGGACACTAGCGTGATCTCTTGATACAAAATATCTTACCTTCTTTAATCCATTCGTCTAGTGTATTTATGAGTTTTGATGCATCTTGGGCACAGATTGGGCGGTCGTCATACATAACATCTTCCACAGCATAATTAAGAATTTCTACAGACTGATCATTCGAAAGCCAATCTTCAACAGTGGTATCTAGCAGCGATGCCCCACTGGGGGACACCGGCTCGTACTTCCATGAGAACATCTGATCCTGACTCAATGACATTCTCAATGCGAATCCAACCAAGTGATATTAAAGGATGAAAATAAATTTTCGTCGGTTTAGCGACATAGCTCGTGGCGAGCGCCATATTGGCACTGAAAAATAAATAATTTCCATGTTAATAAGGAAATATTTAAAAGAAAGAAAAAGTAATTAATACCTACTAGACCATTGTTATGCTCGTTAACAAGGAGTTGCCAAGAATTGCGAAATCGATTTCGAAACGAGACAGTTTATTATGCGACCACGTGTACAATACTACCGAACCTAACCTAATCTAAACCTCCCCAAATGCGCGGCGGATACATGGGAAATTTCCGTTAGGCTGATGGCAGACAACTATCCGTAAGCGCTTAAGACTGACGTAGTCGTAGACTTAAGGTGGAAGACGTGTTCCAGAGAAAAACGTAAGCCGTGGAACACATGTTCCTTACGGCTTACGTTTTTCTCTGCCTTACCTTAAGTCTACGACTACGTCAGTCTTAAGCGCTTACGGATAGTTGTCTGCCATCAGCCTTAAGCGTTTACGGATTGTTCTCTGCCATCAGCCTTCGAGTTTCTATAAGTAGAGTTATGTCGATATCGTTTCCCGATTATGATTGGCTCCGCCATTTTTCGTTGAACTTCCGTTCCGATGCAGCTTAGAATCCTAGACCATAGACATATAAAAGATAGACTGCTTATGAGGCAGTGGAACCCTAGGTGGGGGCATCCTCCTGAGGGAAAAAGACAACATGAATTTGTTTGGGTATGTGTCTTCCTCTAGTGGACGTGATCTGAAGGTGATCATGTGATCACGCCCACGTGATCACACTAGAAGACAGATACCCAAATAAATTCATGTTGTCACGTCACCCTTAATCGGGTTTAATAACATCTGTAATTATACAACTGACCAATCACAACTATTCCTCAGAATGGAATGACTGTGATTGACCAGCTCTTTAACTACGGATGTTATTAAACCCAATTAGGGTGCCGTGTAAATATAGACACAGAAAGCCGAACATATCCGATCGCGTTCGACGAAAATAGTCGAAGTCAGATGAGTGATCCCCTTGCCGTGATTATCAGTTAAGGTCCCATTTCATTGACGCTACGATTTAGCGTCAAATATAGTCACGCGACTAAATTTACCGCTCGCCTAGGGAAGGAGAAGTAGTTGCAAAATATGAGCGTCGTGAAACCACCGCTGGCTGCGTTCAAAAACACCACCCCAGTACACCGCTGGCTGCGTTCAAAAACACCACCCCAGTACACCGCTGGCTGCGCTCAAAAACACCACCCAGAGTACCCCAGAGTATCATTTTATCCTTGTTTAACATACGACGAGCAACAAGGATAGAATAATACGCTGGGGTACTCGAGTGGTGTTTCTGAACGCAGCCCTTGCGACACCCAGTCACACCCATAGACATATAAAAGATAGACTGCTTATGAGGTAGTGAGGGATGTCCTCCTGAGGGAAAAGGCCAACACCAATTTATTTGGGTATCTATCTTCTTCTAGTGTACGTGATCACGTGGGCGTGATCTGGTTATCGCATCAACGCATCAACGGTCAGAGCACAAAGCAACGTAGTAGCTTACGACAAAGACGCAAGTGTAAACGTAGGTAGTGCACAAGCTTTAGCGTATGTCGTACTTCCCTCCAATTACAT